TTTACACGGCTTTCTAAACATGCGGCTCTTTTGTGCGAGATGCAAGTGCAACGCTGATAGATGTCCTTCTAGAAAATGCGCAAAATATGTGTTCTGTGTGAATGGCTTGGTTTCAGTTTTGACGTAAACAAGATCTTCTCCGCATTGATGTTCTCTTTTCCCGCAATATGTGTTGTTAACAACGCAGCAGCGCCGCATCTAGTGGCTTCAACTGATAGGCTAACAAAAACATTATAATGCAATGACACTTACATCGTCATCGCATCTCGTGCACCACTGATAAGGCTGTCTGACGCACACCTAAAATTCGAATGCAACGTTTTTGCATTCGAATTTGGATTTTTATTTTAAATTCGACGAATATTCGAAATTCAAATTATTTTTTGACAGCCCTAGTTCTTGCATTATAATTGTCTTGAAACGTGTTGATGAAGGTGCTTTAAAGGTAATGTAGAGATGCTCCTTCTTATTTGTCTTCATTTAAAGCTGCTAAACGAACGGAATCTCAGTATAGGTTCACTAACAAACGAGTTGGTTTTTGGATGACTGGTCCACCACTCCGAGCCATATCTCAGTAAGGAATGATGTGAATGTGTCAATTATGTTGTGCAGATCAGTAGATGAGCTCGGTCTGTTCTCAGGGTGTTTCCTGAGGCGGGATGGGGGCCTGCTGGAATCTGAGCAGCCCGTGTCTGAGCACGTCTCTGTGAGGGGCTGTCATGCAAGGTCGTTTGTCTTCTAGCGTTTCAGAAGAACAGACGACCCGGATAGAAGCGTATATTTCGGATCATACTGTCAGTTGCTGGACTCCCAGGGAAACGTAAGCAAAGAAGTCTTGGCTTAGAGTCCTGATGGCAGAGAAACATCTTCCAATATCTCTTTCACTCACTTACTCAGTTCACTTACTTATTCAAAAGACTTTTATCTGTCTGTAATTTACTGCTTTTTACTTTCCTTATGTGAAAATGAATCAGGAATGTTTCCTGTTCTGTCTGTGATCCAGGAACAATTTACAGTGTGTACATTGGAGGGAAAGTCTTGTGCTTGATATGGGCCAGACATCTGACCAGAATTGACCCACAATTGATTAGTTGTCTGGGATGAATTATTATATCATAAAACTATACTGGTTGGGTTATTTGTCTATATATCACTAATTAATAATACGTTTGAATAAATTAGAAGGGTTAATGACTTCTGAAGAAACATCACGAGTAAATGCTTTTGACCAGTACAGATTTGCACAGAAGAACAAAATAAAATGATACAAAGAAATGCAAAACAAATGCCATTCTTCAGAGAAAGAGGCATTTAACCCCATCTGATTGATGTTCTTGAACCAGAGAGATTTATAATAGTGTGTTTGTTGGTGGGAGAAAAGGAAAAAAATGACATAACTGGTCATGATATTCAGTATTAAACTCTTAAACAGTTTCATTTAACCACTGAGTTGCCATTCTTTTCTGAACTTTTTTTTTAACTCACATGCACATATATGTTGCTTTTTGCCTATATTTTTGTCCATTTCTGGGTGATTCTACTTATCCATACATTTTCACCTTTTGATTACAATGTGTTTCTGCAGTAATTGTGTGTGGGATTTTAATTTCCAATCCATTTGGGTTAATCATATCTAAGCAGTAGTCATTTTTAAACAATAGTTGAGTTAAATAAAACAGCAGCATGTTGTGTCTAACATTAAACCCAATGCAGCCGGTTATCAAAACAAGTGCTGGGTTGCCAAAATGACCTAGACTGAACTGTTTATAACCCAGTATTTATTAGAATGTACAGTCACAGTTTATTAGTTTATTTGATTTAAAATGATCTAATCGAACTAATCTAAGCTTTGGCCACGTTCTCTCCTGCACTAAACTTTTGTACATGTGAGGTAAGAATGAGTTTTCCGGAAGTGATATTTGTATTACCATAGAAAGATTTTAGTTTGTTAATGTGAAATCCAGATGTTTTTACTTTTACTAATTTCCACGGAAGTTTTCATGTCAATCTATAATGCCTGGGAAAATCAAGTCAAAGATAGTAGATCGCGGCTGTAAATAAGATGTTTCATGTTTATCCACGAGGTTTCATCAGTTATCTGGTCAGTGAGGAATTCCCAGCGTTTGAATTTATGCACACTGTGACCTCGCAAGACTTCTAACACACCTGCAGATGTGAATGGAGTAAAACATTGAAGTAGCTGTTCCAGCATGACATAGGTGTCCACCTTTTTTGGGGGTATGTGTGTATTGTTACACAAGTCTATAAATCTGAATTAATTATAACTTGATTCGACTCACTCATAATGCTAACTCCAAATGATTTGGCATTGACTGGATTTACAGCTCTGCTACTAGAATTCCTTAATAGTCCTTAATAGAAAAGTCCTTAAGAAGGTTACTTAAATATTTACATCACACAACAGAAAGTGGACACTGAAAACTTTAAGAGCTGCGAAGATGTGCATTATCTCCTTGTTGCTTTTGTTCTTGCATTTCGAAATTTGTCATCTTCACCTTCATGTCAATCCAAACCTCAACTTTCTTTCTTTACATAGATAGCATAAAAGAAAATAAAGGGATTTGGAATGACATGAGGATGAGTAAATGATGATATATCACAAGCAGATTTAGCAGTAATCTTGTGGACCTTGTTATTAGTTGGAGTTCATTCCCTGTTCTCTGAGAATGTTCTACAGAGACGCTTGTTAGAAGTTAGTTGGCACATGCCCTGTTTACACAGCAATTTGGTGGTTTTTGTAAGCCAAATCAATGTTGTGATCTCCGTGAGAGAAAATACAGCCAGCCTTCCACTGCTTGTAATGTTATCCTGAAGTTATTTGTTGTCATAATGGACTAAATTCACTTATGATGCCGGTGAAGATACTGAGCACTAGTACCCTACCATACTACTACATGCCTGTTTCAGTTTACGAGTAAATGCACCAAAGACACAACATAATCAGCAAGCACAGTTTCAGTTTGATTCAATTTTATTTAAACTCTTTCAAAGCAGCTGCACTGATGACATTGCCATAATGCTCAGAGTGAGTAAAGGCGGGCATACACGGTGCGATTTTTGCTGTCATACGAGCTCGCAGGCGATTTTTTTATCTCGGGAGAAAATCGCATTGAGAATGAGTAAAACACAGGCTAATTTTCATTTTTAGGTGAACTATCCCTTTAACACATTTTAGAAAGAAAAAGTCAACTACCCCCTTTAAATTATCTAGGCCAAAGTATATAAAGTTATAGAAAAGCGTAATAGTCACTTGTTAATGTGTTATTAAATAACATATAATAGTTGCAATTATATGATTGGAGCCCAGCCTGAGATTACTGTCGCGATCCAAGCAGTTTTCAGGGAAATATCCCTCATACCTCATCGGCTGGCTTATGGAATGACAAACATCAGATACAGTTCCTCAGAAAAGATGAGTTAAAGGTGGGGGATAATGGGAATTGTTTGGGGCTGGATCTGATCAGGACAGAAGCTTGTGAGGTAGAGGCAGAGAAAATTGTGAGAATGTCAGTTTTATTCCCTGATTATGGTTAATATCCTCAGTCTGTTATATCCTGAGAATAATAGTCGGGATTCCAGAAGGCCTAACAATACAGCACAGCTGAGCGCATATCTATAAATATGCTATGAGGTTGGCTAGACAGAAGATAGACTCAAGCTGAGTGTATTCCATATCTCAGAGGCCATGAAGGAAAGGGATATACATCTTCTGGTGGATTTGGGAGCGTTAGATATTGAATGCACAATTTCTACCTCACTCAATGCATTTGCAATAACTGTTATTATTATGTGCAATAATTGTATATTTACCTACATTCTCAGGGTATTCACATGATATATAATCTCACTGTGCAACTATACTAGTTGTATTATATTAGTCTGCTGGTCAGAAGGTGGGAATACATTTTTTTAAATGTTTTTCAACTAAGTCTCTTATGCTCACCAAGGCTGCGTTTATTTTTTTTTATCTGACAAGTCTTTTTTTTTCTATTAACCTGCAATGTATTAAAAATTATTATTATTATTTTTGTTTTGTGCTATCAGAAGTCTTTGTAAGCTTAACGGGTTAAAGATGCAGCCTATTGGGTGCTTGCTGGAGTACAGAGGGCTCAATACTTTGAATCAGAGGTTTAAATGCAAGTGGAAGTATTTTACAAATTAAATAAAATTATTTAAAATTGAACTGGCAGACAACTAATGTAGCATAGAAACAGACATATTCTGACACTGTTTATTTCCACTGGACATTGTACAGACTTTGCTGCATCTTGAAGTTACAAATACATGAACTTATTCATTCATATGCCACCATGATAATGTACTGTGTAAGGGATATTGATGAAGTGGCTTTAAATCAAGAGATTGTTGTCAAACACCGTGTTGTGCAACTGTAAAGCATGACTCAATTGAACATCTAGACACTGTATTAAAGGGACATCTTAAAATGTTCTAATAATGGTCTAACAAACAATTTGGAGCAATTTGAAAAACTGAAATTAAATTACATCTGGTGTGGAGGACATATAGAGCTGCATGTCATAATGAAATAGTGCCATTGTTCCTTGTAAAATAATAGCACTTGAAGGAAGCATGTATAAGCAGTTCATTAAAGGACATGAGACAGAGCCTTGTGGCACTCCATAATTCTTAGGTCGGACATCTCCTCATTCACACTCATAAATATGGCAAATTTGACGTAAACCAGGCTAGGATGACAATGTGATTGTCACGCTTGTCTGAAAGGAAGTTATAATGTATAATGTCAAAGGTAATACTAAAATTGGAATTTGTGTTCAGACCCACAATGACTAATAACTATTGTCAAAATTGTTTTTAAATAATACCTGTTATTGATTAAATTTATGGTATATTGATATATGTTATATTCAAAAAAAGTAATATTTACTCAATACATGACAAAGCCCACAGCAATAACATATGCTTTGTTTGATCCAAGTATGTTTATCTTTTGTTTCCAGAGATCTGAGATTCAACAAAATCAAGGATTTACAGCCAGGATCCCTCAGACGATTAAAAAACCTCAATACACTGTAAGCGTCAATGTTTTCTTAACTGGTTTCGTGAAAAACACACCTCATAAAACTAAACTTTTCGGAGCATGTTCCTTTGTTTGAAATCATCTATTTTGATGTCTAATACATTTCTTTCCTCTTTCTTTAAGGCTTTTAAATAACAACCACATTAGAAGAATCCCAAGAGGAGCCTTTGAAGATTTGGAAAACCTAAAATATCTGTGAGCTTTTCTTTACCTCTTTTGATTGCTTATTAAAATATTGAAATTGTGGATAAATTAAAATACAGAAAGAGTGATGCTTTATGGATAAAAGCTTAAGTTCTGAGTTAGAGAAGTCAAGTAATATTAATTTTAAAGCATAGCTACTGTACAACCACTGCCTGAAAGTTAAAGTTAAAATGTACAATATAGTAGGTGATATGATAAAAATGTTCCCTTTAACTTGATTTCAGAACCATGAGCCAACATGTTGCACCATGCTCACCACTTGTATGAATGATTCAGTCATTACTACTGCCATTGTGTGACACAGAAGAGAGTTGAGGTCATGGAAAGAGACTCTCACACATGTGGGAAACTTAATTGTCTGCTCTGTAAAATTATCTGTCTGACGGCCCTGACCCAAAAGCACGGAGATCAGAGTCAGACGGAGCTGGAGTAATTGCTCTCTGGGCAGACGCTGCACAGTTCCTGTCTTTGTTCGTCACAGAGCAATTTGAGAATCTGTAACTTTAGTTGTGGTAAGAGCAGCCTGTGTTTATATTTAAATACAGTTGGTTGTTTGAAATGTTTCACACCTGGTTTTGCCTAGATAACATCTAAACTCAGCTGCTAAGAGAATACAGTAAGAGTAAAGTATGTGTAGGTCAATCTCACCAACTTGTCAAAAACATGTCTGGTCATATTTCACCCCCAAATCAAAATAAATACATATTTCTGCTTTAACCCTCTAAGCGCCAAAGTCGCAAAATTGCGACAAGACGTCATACGCTGATAAAAAGTTGTACCGTGAGGATGTGTTGCAAATAGGGATGCACCAATACCGATACTGGTATCGGTATCGGGCCCGATACTGAGCTCCTGTACTCGTACTCGTACTCGCAGATAGCTGGTCAACTGATCAAAAAATAGGCACATGCATTTTACTATGGCACAGTAATATAGTAATAATTTACTACTTTCTCCTGTTTTACTGTTGATTTCCTCTTTTCCTGATCATTTGGAATGAGGATAAAAAGACAAAAAAAATATGCAAATAAGTTCAAACATCCATTCACTATCTATTATTTCCTGAATATTACTTATGAACTGATCAAAAAGTAGGCTACTGTTCACATGCGTTTTACTACTATATAGTATAGTAATAATTTAGTACTTTCTCCTGTTTTATTGTTGGTTTCCTCTTTTCTGATCATTTGGAATGAGGATAAAAAGACAAAAAAAAAACATGCAAATAAGTTCAAACATCAATTCAATATCTACTATTTCCTGAATATTATGAAATTCAAGATGGCCGCCTCTGATGACGTCATAATTTGCCAATTAGACAAGTATATTTACACCCCACATAAACTTTCGGTCATGCCCAACATTTTTCTAATTTACAGTGGATCAATATCTTTAAGCCCTTTCAAGCCACAAGCTTTTGAAATCTTGATGTCAAAATCCAGCATTGTTCCAAAAATCCCTGGCGCCTAAAGGGTTAAGAAAATTAAGCATTTTTTTTTATCACCACTATGATAAAGTTTGCATTGTGGCATTAATTATTATTATTACTTTACACATTATTATGGGGACATCCATCCCTACCCCTAAATAAAGAAATATTTATTTATTTATTTATTTATTTTATTTATTTATTTACATTATTATTATTTTTTTTATGTATTTATTTTTATTTCTTTTTTTATTTTATTTATTTATTTATTTATTTATTTTTCATCATAGATATACTGCCAAAACAAACCAAAAAAAAGTAGTCAGCTCTTAGTGTATCGTGTATCCATCACTAATTTCCTTTTTAAGAATTATAATACAAAAATATTTGTATAACTCACTGGTGATTGACCACTGGACTGTGTGAAGCCTAAATAATCTCTACAAGAGGCTGAACAGTTAGAGCCCACTGTTATTCTAGTGCTGGTGGTCTAAAAGACAAATGCTGACTTCACAGACTACAACTCGTGTGTCACTCCAGATAAAAATACTGAGTATTATATAAGTCTCATGCTGAGTATTATTTCATTCATTAACTGGTCTTGGACGGTACAACCATCAGACATATGTGATAGTTCACACAGTCATGATGTCCAGCTGTGGAGTTCTCTGAAAGAGTACTTTAAAATTTCCCCTTCTGGTTACTCAAGCAAGGTCCAGTGGTCTGGCTAGTCCTCCAGACAAAGTGAATGTAACCTGCTTTGTGGCTGGTTTGTCATTTTACCACTATAATTCAGACACTGTAACCATTCAACAGGGTTTTGCATAAGAAAACCTCACATTTTTCAGGGTTATTACTGTGAAATGAAATCTAAAAAAAAGGGGGTGATTTTATTCCCGTTTTATATTTACATAACATATTTAGTTTAACTTTATGTGCTAATATACCTAAAACTGAAATAAAATTAATTTTATAGATAAAAAGTAAAAACAACAAAAACACACAACTAAAACTTTTTTTTTTTAATCATTGAAACCTGGACATAAATAGAAAATGTTAGGAATTCAAAACATTTAAGGGCATTTTGAGGAACAATATTCACATATTCATATACATTTTGTTCAGTTTGACTTTTTACTCAAATTGTTACTGATAATATCATTTGATATCAATAGATATCAATAGAGAAATTAATATCAATAGAGTAATATTGAAAAAAAAAAAAGTTTCAGTTTCCATCATGGTCTGAGTGATATTCCCATTACAGCAATAGTATTATTTGCAGATTCTTAACTTGAACAGCCCTCATAACTTAGTGCATTGCTTTAGTGGTGCTTATATATGCAAATATTGAATACTTGTATGGGAAGACACGGCATATCTGCAGCATATACTTCCTGTGGGATGGTGTCATAGTCCTCAAGGTCACAGGATCATGTGGTTTATGTGACTGAGCGCTGGTTCTCAACAGAACAGGAAAACCACAAACGTTCCTTCCTGTTTCCCACAGACCACCCTATCTGTGTTATCAGTATACAGTCAATATGCAACAGTTATTTTTTTTCTATTATTCCTGCATTATCTGATTAAAAAGTTCATTTTGATCTTTATTTCTGTGTGTACATGTTGTGCATGTTTTATTTTTATTTTCTCTGTTAAAAATAGGAGATCCCTCAATGTTTGACACTCGCTATGTACTAATATTCCTGAATAATTCTTTCAGCTATTTGTACAAGAATGAAATCCAGGCGATAGACAGAGAAGCTTTTAAGGGGCTCGTCTCTCTAGAACAGCTGTAAGTAACCTTTTGCCTTGTCACCTCCTGTCTAGTTTTTAATATCTCTCAAAGTTAAGGGAATAGTTCACCCAATTTCTGATGCAAAGCTATTGTACAGCTTTCAGAAAACTCAGAATATAGTGCATATAATGAAGTCACTAAAATTATATTTTTATGATGAAAAAATATCTCCAGTTATGATTTATTATGGGAATTGCATTGTAAAAAACAACCAACAATTTAAAAAAGATGTTTATGGCAAGTAAAACAATGTGACTCTCTCTCACAGATACCTGCACTTCAACAACATTGAGTCATTGGAGCCGGAGTCTTTCTCTCATCTACCCAAGCTGGAGCGGCTGTGAGTTACGCATGCATCTCAAACCTCAAATCGTCACTCCTATCCCTACACGGTTGCATGTTTAGTCATGACCACACGTCCCTTTTGAAATTAGATTTAAAAAAAGACGAACGTGTAGGCAAATGTGTGCTATGAGCTGTAGCATATGTTCTGGTTTGTTTTGAGTGAGGAATTGTCTTCAAAGGGATGCTTTGACCCTGTAAACCCTGACATATGAAAGAAAAACCATGTGTGTTTTTGATTGTATCATATTTTATACATAAGGATTTTTTTGGCTCATATAGTATGTTGAAGGGAGAATATGGAGCTCAAACTGGGTAAAAATATGCAATTTGGATTCTGATATTTATCAGAAAGAGTAAGATGAAATTCTGATAGCTGTAAATCAGTGAGATCTTATAGCAGATACTATACTTAAAATTATATACATATCTTAAATATGCCAATTGTGTACAACAGGTTTATTGAGATTCACTTTTCTCTGTTGTCTGAATGAAAATTGTTTCTCCTCCAATTCCAGTGTTGAAACTATTCCAAAAAATCAAGGGTGCAATTTGCACTCAGTTTGTTTGGGTAGATTTCATCCCATGTGTTGGGTAAAGATAGAGTGACCATATTTTTAAAGTAGCCCCCAAATTAGTGCAATGACCATATCCCTAATATCAGAATTCAAAATACAGTCACTGTTATGCAGATTGATCATAAACATAGCTAAAATGTTTAAATACAAGCATTTCAGTCAAATGTAATTTATGCAAACCTTTCACGGGGAAAATCAACCCATGGCAACAGTTTAAAAGTAGCCCAATTCCATTGAAGAAAACGTGGACTTGACAGCCCTGCATCCAACACGAGCTGCAGGAGTCAGATTTGACTGATCATGGGTCGAGAGTAAGGAGAGATGACTGACAGACTATGGTGGAGGATTTGCTGCTCAACAGATCCTGAGCTCATTGACAAATATCTTATCTCGTAAGATGTGCTTCCTTTACACAGAGTACGCATGATTGTGAAATCGAAAGTGAACCACGAGCACGAGCAAAAGGGATTTCAATACTCCACATATTGATAGCGGCTCCCTGATGCGCGAAAATTATATGCAGTATTGGAATGTTGGCGGGACTGGACACAAAAATCGCAGGAGCGGAACAGACATGTTGTGGGAGCAGGCGGTAATGGTCAGAAATTCAGTGGAAGCAGGATTAAGAAAACAGTCTTACAAAAACACATCCAAAAGTGCACACAATGAATAACGACTGTAGAAAGCAAAACCCGAATCCCGGACATTTTGGACGATTTAGAAATCCTGGCCCTACGCATTTTTTTAGGTCCAAAAAGAGGAAGTTATGGTCACCCTAAGACCACCTAAATGCAAAAACTAAGATGCACAAAAGAAATTGGGTAAAGTCTACACAATACTTTAACAAAGTATTATCAAAATGTAAGTAATATGAACTCTTAAATTAACACTTAATGTTTTTGTATGTATCAAAGCACATGCTTACAGTGAACAAGTAAGAAGTTCCATGCCACTGCACTTATTTAGTAACAGCTATTCCTCATTGAGGGACTTCAGTATGAAGGTTCAGGTCTTTCTCTTTACTTAAAAACACATAAAATAGCACTTAATGTCACCATTTACTCTCATGATCCAGCCCTGTGCAAAGCATGCTGCGAACTAACAATCCACTGCCCAGTTTCAGGTAATCCCAGCAGAAATAGATCAGTTTTTAATTTTTAAGTGGATTGTGTTGGTTAGCTCAAATTGTACAAGCAGCTTAAATCATTTTTATTACAGTTTTCTCTGTCGCATTTCTTTCTGTTGACCTGAATTCTAAATGTTTGGAGATTTGTGGCGCTGTACTCACCCACACACATTCTGATGTCTTTCAATGACGGGAAAGTCACTCGCACATAAACAGGGACTGACACGTGAGTTAGGGACCAGTTCGCTGCTGGAGTTTGCAGAGAAGCTAGAAGCTGGTGAAGAAGTGAAAATGTATAACGAATCTGCATCTGGAAAGTATGCCTCCCATTGTTTATTTGACTAGTTGTGAACAGTAATGTCATCCCTGGTAATGTGACCCCGTCTGACCTGGTAGAAAATAAGAACATCCCTTGGACCTTCATCTTTGCATCTCTGTTCCACAGAGCAACATTTCGGAATAATTAGGCCTACAGTTTTTTCCTTCTGCTCACCAAGGCTGCACTTATTTGTTCAAAAATACAGTAAAAATTGTAATATTGTGAAATATTACAATTTAATCTGTTTGCTATAGTAATATATTTTAAAGTGTAATTTATTCCTGTGTTGCAAAGCTGAATATTCAGCAGTCATTCAACCACACCAACTACACAACCTACACATGTATCAGGGATTTGAGCAGAAAGCATTGTTTTCCAGTCTGCTACAAGTGTCACAACCATGTGAATTTGTGCTTTGCAAAAAAGGAAACAATTTTATTTTAACATTTCAAAAAACTGCCAAACAATTTTGTGAGATTTTGTTTTGTTTTCTCTATCATGTCAGATCACCTTCAAAACAAATTGTACACAATTTGTACTACATACCACTCGCAGATTAGATACCACAGAATAAACAAATCACTGATCCTAAATGTGAGCACTAGTATAGTAATGCTTTTATGGTGTTGTGTTTTTTTTCTGTCCTGGTCACAGATTTTCTATGCCTGATTTTTAAACCTCTCACTGATGTCTATTGCAGGTTTCTGCACAATAACAGAATTACTCATCTTGCATTAGGAACCTTCTCCCACCTGCAGTCCATGAAGAGACTGTGAGTATTGCTCAAGCTTATTTACGGTTGGGTGAAGCAGAAGTTTGCTCAGAGATTGTCTTTGTGTTTAGTTAAAGGAGTCATATGCGATTTCAATTTTTCCTTTCTCTTTGGAGTGTTACAAGCTCTTGGTGCATAAAGAAGATCTGTAAAGTTGCAAAGACTAAAGTCTCAAATCCAAAGAGATATTCTTTATAAAAGTTAAGAGTCAACCACGCCTACCTAAAACGGCTCATTCTAACACGCCCCCACATACCTACGTCGCTCTGTGGGAAGATTTGCATCACACCGTCCAAATGTTCACGCAAAGAAAGAAGGCGGAACTTTTATTCTGGCTGTAGTATTGTTGTTTCCGCCGCAATGTCGTAAAGACGCTGTGTGCTTCATGGTAAAAGCGAAACTACTTTGTTTGGTCTTCCAAAAGAGGACGATATCTGCTTCGTCATGCCTGGAGCTGATCCGTGCTGGTCGCTGAGGAAATACTACAACTTTGCACTGTGGATCGCCGGATCGGCTTTCACCGTGGACGAAGCGAGTCCAGCCCGAGGTCGTCACATGTGGTTGCCGCAGGCATCACAATATGGTAAGGGACATAACATTTCCGTCACACGCTTGAG